TCTACACCCTTATCTCCAACAAGCCTGAACCATCCTTCCACCAATCCTTCCATCTCAGAGAGCAGTTGGTATCCCCAGCTGGCCCCCTCTCACATCTTTAGAGCGTGGATCTTTCACAGCTGAGCGAAGCAATGACTTGGCTTTAAGCCATACAGGTTCTCCAGAGTTGCTTATTTGAATTGCTTGGGGTTCTGGAGTTGTAGGCTTCTGAGTTGTGAAGCGGTGGAGTATAATGTCACTGTTTTGTGGCCATATACCTGTGGCAGAGATGGACTTCAATACCAACGTTTTGGTGAAAGTTTGAGTCCATGCCTTCCAGAATAGGTTGAAGAAGTTGCTCTTTTTAATTGGGGCTTTGCCTTGAGTCTTCTGGTTTCGGATATCAAGCTCCTTTGTGTAGTTTTGAGCCAGAGGCTTGAAACAAACTACATCCAATGGCTGTAAAGTATGTGTAGCGTGTGGAGGAAATACCATGACTAGGATCTTGTGGCTATCACAGTAGTCCAAAAAGTCCTTTGTTACATGGCTCCCATGGCCATCAATGATAAGTAACCTCCACTTTCTCCAAGCTTTGGGTTGAGTATAGCGCTCAAATACCTGTTCAAGCCAGGTCAACCCTAAGTCATTGTTTGTCCATCCATTTGGAGATGTTGTGAAGTGTACAGAGTGTTGTTTTGGGTCAATATCCTTCACCCATGATGCTTGAACTGCCTGGCCAGTTGCTGCAAATACAATGCCTGGAGGAAGGACTGTACCATCAGCACAGACTGTAGCCAATAGCGTCACCCACTCGCTGTTGTTGTTGTGTTGACTCTGCTTGAACTGCTTCTTGTTGTACAGCTTCTTATCAAAGACTCTCTTGCTCCTGCCTGTGACTCCAATAGCAAAGCCCTTCTCATCCATATTGTATGTGTTTTCAGCTTCCACTTGATATTCCCCCATTTTGCGGTGCAAAAGCTCAAAGTATAAGCTGTATTTTGCACCAGAATCAGCCTTATGGCGAGCCATCTCCATGGGGGTGGTCCAGGCTGTGATGAGCGTATCTTTGTTGCGGTTGAGAAAGCGTGTAATTGTCACGGTATCCTGTCCAGATCCCCTGACAATATCCGGATCCGCTCCGTACTGTCCCTGACCGTACGCACCAAATCCCCAGCGTCCTTACACGCCTCCAAAGCGGACGTACAACCTCTGTTCACCTCTGGAGCGGGCCTGTAACCTCTGAAGCGGGAGTATTAGAATTCTGCAAGCCCTGCTCTGGGACTTGCAACCCCGATACCTATCCAACTCAGTTCCAATTATTAACTGGTAACCAAACGAACCCACACGTAAGTATATAGACTATTGCTGGTAGAGTTCTGTTTGGTACACAACGACTTGTACCTACTTAGATACCGTACTGTGAGAGGGGGCCAGCTAGGGATACCAACTGCTCTCTGAGATGGAAGGATTGGTGGAAGGATGGTTCAGGCTTGTTGGAGATAAGGGTGTAGAGGAGACCAAGTGTGGGGATACCACAAGTGGTAAAAAGGATAAGTGATAAAGAAGGGATCAAGTGTGGGAATACCACAGAGGATCAGTGAGGAGTGAGTTGAGGAAGGAATTGTTGAGGTGAATTGAAGGAGTGGATTGAGTTTTTGAATTGCAAGCATGAGTTATCTGAGCAGGAGGGCAGGCTGCCTTTATAGACAGACTGCTGGCTCCTGGAATGTTCTAGATACATTGGCATTTGTAATCATTTGTAATCATTTGTCAGCATTTGTCAGCAACTGGAAGATTCTGTGTTGTTCCATGATGTTCCATGAGGTTCCATGAGGTTCCATGATGTTCCATGAGGTTCCATGATGTTCCATGGGATTCCATGGGGTTCCATGAGGTTCCATGGGATTCCATGAGGTTCCATGAGGTTCCATGATGTTCCATGAGGTGTGACTGGGTGGATTGTTATTGGCTGCAAGCCATGTCAGGATGACACGTACGTAGTAATTGATTTAGACTCCTAGCGAGTCCTAAAGGGCCTACTCGTAGCATCTTTGTGACAGTAATCCAGCTATCACCAGGCCCATAACCAAGTATTGGGACTGCAAAATTCTTGATCATTTGCCTTGTAGGCATAAGATGTCGCTCTGTGAGTGTTCTGATGTAATCCACAAGCTCTGCTTCATTGCGTGGGTGCATGGCACGCCGATTGAGTCCTTCTTCTGCACGGGATGCATGAATGCCTTGGTCTTTCCGTGACAACGTAGATCGCCACACCCCATGTTTTTTAGCCAACTTTGTATATGAAATATCTTCATCTGAATCTGCTGCGTCTAGTTCTGCAAGGGCAGCTTCAATCGTCATGGTGGTGTTGAGTTATGGTGGGTGCAAACAGGGGATGGAATTATGGTGGGGTGCGCATTGACTGAACAGGTGCGTTGAGTGCACGGACACGGTACTGTAACGTGTTTCCCCACCAAGCGGCCACCCCTCACCAACATCGTGACTATTACAGGCTATTACAGCTATGCCACAACAGTGCGCAAGAACGTACTATAGCCTACAGTACTATTCAGAAGTGTTGCTATCATCTAGATCTACAATTTCTACAGTACAGGTTTGCGTGTTGTGGCCAGTCTTGCCACAACATCTGCAGTGCCTCTCTGTTGCGATTTGTGCCTTAAGCAAAGCTCGTAGGCACTATTTGATGGGTTCCTGGGGATGAGCAGAGGTACAGAAAGCCGTAGGGGTTGACAGTCACCTAAGCAAGGCTTGGGTGGTCAGGGGTAGACTATCCGGGCAAGGCAGTAGTAGCCTTTGTAATAGTCAAGGTAATAGCCATCTAGCCAGAGACCGTGATGACTGGTTGCAATGAGTAGTACAGAGTATACTGTCTGGCTCAAGAGCAAGTGAGATTCCAATAACAAAGTTGATTGACAAGGTTGAACACAATGCCATAAGGGCAGCGTGTCTACTTGCTATATACATGAGCAGAGGATTGCTCAGATTGCTTGGTGCTGAGTATACTGACCGTGCCAAGTATACTTCTTGCAATAGCGTCTTTGTTCAGGGCTCATTGATGATTGTATGGATGGCTGTGTCAAAGCTTGACCTCCTTAGTACGCATTCTGAACCTGTCTACCCAGTGCTTGCCTTCAGATCCTTCACCATGCTCAGCAAGTAGATCATTAGCCATTTCTTGTACCATAGTCCTTGTGGTGCCTATCCCTTGTGCATCTAGGTCAAGTATACGTGTGACTATTGCCTCCTCTTCTGTCTTGCTCAGCCTGCTTGAGTTGGGCTGTGTAACAATGTAGAGCCCCATTGCGCCAAATGGCCAAAAAGTACATCAATATCAGCAGAACTGCTGATATTGGACTCTGTATCTAATATATAGGCATAGTGCAAGGCACCTCCTTACAGGCTGACAGTTGTGTTGTGCAGGCCTTCTGTTACGTTGAGCTCACAGCGTAGTTTGGGGGATGTTAAATGCCTTAGATGCGTGTTTTGTACTGTCAGGCACAGTAGCTTTTGTAGCCTGAACAGCAAGGTATAGCGTGCCTTTGTTGTAGGCTGATTGCGTGTTGCTGTGAGGGCTTGGCTCGGTCCCACCTGAGCTACACCGACCAAAAAGGTACAGAGACCCAATAGATATGGGTACTGGGAACCGAACAGTATATACCCGTGACAGTTGCGTTGTGGTGGCATTGTTGTAATAGCCTGTAATAGTTGCAATGTTGGTGAGGGGTGGCCGCTCGGTGGGGAAACACGTTAATACTTTTCTATTCTTACAGAGATGCTTTCGCTAAGCATACATCCACAGATTATGCAGTAAGGGCAATTACCGCGAGCTTCTAGCTGTCTGCCTCCTAACACTCGCCTCCTCAACCACCTTCAGTGGCCGCTTCAGCACGACAGGCCCCTTAACAACCGGTCTCCTAATCGCACCCCTAGGACCAGTAACAGCCGCCTTCTCCTCCTTGATCTCCCTATTCGTCTGCCCCTTAATCCTCATAGCAACCTCCTCCCACACACCCGGCACCCCTGTCTTCGCCGTGAACATCTTGCCCTCCTTGACAAAGAACTTGTATCTTGGTTCGGCGGCGACTTCCAGCATTCGTCTCCATATACCCTTCTCGCGCTGTTTCTGCGCCCAGTCTTCCGTTTTCGGGATCTCAATGTTTGCGAGACGGAACTTCATAGGTGGTAAAGCGCGAAGCTCGTGGAGGAAAGCAGTGGTGTTCTTGCGAAAGGGGAAGATGCGGAGCGTTACGAATTCCAGCTTAGTGTTGGCGGTGGTGGATGCGTTGGCAGGGATGTTCAGACTGCGAGCGAAGTTCATCAGGTTATGGCGTGAGCGGCGGGCGTGCTCGGGGATCTGGAGGAAGACTTGGTGTACGAAAGGTGCGGTCACGTAGGCCATAGTTAAGGTGGGGATCGTGCCGAGAACGCCAACTGGTGTATGTCAGTTTACGAACAAAACAAGAACGTAGTTTCACGACGTCGGGCTTGTATTGAAAGAGATAGAAGGTGGCAGCCGTTAATATATGCCATATTCAAGAAGTCGGATTGTTGGGTGTTAAGGTGACCAACATGGATAGCAGGGTCAAGTATGAGATCTCGGAGTAAGTTGAAAGGACGAGGTGAGAAGGGCAAAGCCTGGGTGATAAGAAGATGTAGAACGGAAGAAATCAGGGATGAAGAGGGCAGTTCGAAATAGCGCACATGCGCAGATATGCAAAAGGTTGGAGATAGGATGGACATGAGATGAGATATTCTTACCCAGAATAGCCTGTGCTTTCCTCAGATTAGGGTCAGGTTGGTTCTCGTTATTCCATAAAGGCGGTACAGCGAAGACGAGCGTTGTTCCAAATTGCAGCAATGCCATGGCTTTCCAGAAGGACACCCATGTTGTGCGCGTGTCGCCAGCATCATAGATCAACAACCTCGACTTGTACACTATACAGCATCAGCATCAACTTCACCAACCATCTCGGATTTCTTCGTTGAGGTACTCACTCCGATCTTTCCCTACATTCTTAGCTGCTGCACGTAGGGTTGGCGAAGTGGAAAATTTCCGCAGACAACTCCTGCAGAGAAGCTGAGCTATTCTCAGCTTAGGGACCTGCTGTGCATTCCGCGCCCATGGTGCTGAGCCTTTGAAGGCAGCCGAGAGTGTTAGGAGTCGCGGCTGCATCTCAACTGATGTTTGATTGTTCTCTGACGGAGGGACGCGTGAGGAAGGAGGCTCGGCTAGACTTGCCCCTGAAGCACGCTGTCACATGATGGGTCTTGGACCCTGGAAATTGGCGTGGGGTGTGACCACGATTCAGTACTCTTGGGTGCTCGTACTTGTCATCAACATGCTCATTGCTTGGTCGGAGGCTTTTGTATGATTTCGTTTGGACGTGCGAGGGTCTGATGTGAGCCAATTGCCATCATGTTGTTCGCTTTTGTGCTGCTGTCGCTCGTTTCGTTCCTCCCCCTCGGTCTTGCCTACCATGATCTCAGCGACGATACCCTTAGGAGTCTACCCGGCCCGGGCGACGACTTTAATATCAAGACGGGAGCGCTGCTAGCACCGATCTTGCGACCCCGAGTATCTGGTACCGAAGGCAATGCGGCCGTGCGACAACACTTCATCGACTTCTTCAAGACGAATCTTCCAGAATGGCGCATCGAGCTGCACAACTCGACTTTCACTACACCAGTGAGCAAAGGGAAGGAGGTACCTTTTGTCAACCTCATTGTGACACGCGACCCGCCTGGGACCAGCGAGGGCGATGTCTCGCGCCTGGCATTGGTAGCCCACTACGACAGCAAGCTCACGCCGAAGGGCTTCATTGGCGCAACGGACAGTGCAGCGCCATGCGCCATGCTACTGCATGCTGCGCGCACACTTGACGCAGCACTAACGAAGAAATGGGCGACTGAAGCGGGCGATGATCTAGACGTGGAGCACAAGGGTGTGCAGATACTGTTGCTTGACGGCGAAGAGGCCTTCCATAGCTGGACTGACACAGACAGTCTGTATGGCGCACGGTAAGTATATGCACAAGCTGAAGATTCATCACGAGTTGCTGACTTGGTACAGTGCTCTAGCCGAAGACTGGGAAGCCTCCTTCCACACCGCCGCTTCGACGTACCGCACGCCCCTCGACTCGATGGAGCTCTTCCTTCTGCTCGATCTGCTAGGCTCCGCCGGTCCCCACGTGCCATCATACTTCAAGACCACCCACTGGGCATACAAGCACATGGCGAGTGTCGAGGATCGTTTGCGCAAGTTGAAGCTCATGAGGTCCTCGCCCAACCACCCTGAGCGCATGGCGAGGCGCGAGAACAAGAAGCCACGCGCCGAGCCCCATTTCTTGTATGAAGAGAACAAGGCCGAGAACTCCTTCATTGGCGGCTTCGTGCAGGATGATCATGTTCCCTTCATGGCTAGGGGCGTGGAGATCCTACACATCATTCCATCGCCGTTCCCACGAGTGTGGCATGAGATCGCGGACGACGGAGAGCATTTGGATATGGACACAGTAGAGGATTGGGCGAAGATAGTCACTGCATTCGCAGCAGAGTGGATGGAGTTGGAAGGCTTCTTTGACGTCAAAGCAGAGAAGCGGCGGTTAGCAGAGAAATCGGAATTGTAAGTAGCTTTCAACAATCGAACTGGCTTCGAGTTAACACTGTGCAGTGAGATACTCTAACTTACGACCATACGAAACACATCTAATGCCTGTCAAGGACGACGTTGCTACCTAACATAGCCTTGCACGCATCATTCAGCTAATGAACAGGGTCAACAAAGAAAGCCAAAAACGACTTTCGCCGTCGCGACAATATCCTTTGTAATTTGATGCCATCTACAATACCAGCTACAATGCCGAGACAAAGGGTCTCGAAACTCGATCGAGGGTCTCAGACAGCTATGTTTGTTGCACTACACCATTAAGGCTCTAGCAATCGCACGGCCACGCTTGACCTTAGACTAGCACCATCAGCTGGCATGCTATACGTTCCTAGCTTACTGGAGTGATTCTACTCAACGCAGCAGGTGGATATCGAACCTCGCAATCGATTCGAAATGGCGCCTCAGCGTCGACGAGGCAGCAAGCACGCCGTAAAGGACGAGGATCTGACTCACACAAAGTACGACGATTATAGCCACGAACAGCTGCTCGTAGCGGTCAAAGAGGCTGGCTGCTGTGTCAAGGATGACAAGAAGAGCGTTGTGGCAAGGAAGCTCGCTGATCACGATCGAAACCTGCAGAACGCAGAGCGGAGAGCGGTGCAAGAGCGAAAGGAGAAGGAGGAGAGAAGACAGCAAGAGATTAAGGACGCTGCCAAAGCGCAGAAGGATCGGCGAAAGGCAAGAGCAAAGCGCAACAAGGAAAAGGGTAGAAGGCGGGAATGTGAAGAAGATGTCAGCTCAAACTCTGAGGACACCGCTGATGCGGACGTGGAAGATAGGCATGATGCACATAAGCTCACAGTTACAGGCGGCAAGGCGCTTAGCGACGAGACCTGGGAAGACACATGCTCCGACACTACGGTCAATTCTGAGAACCCACCCATTATGCCAGACTGTAAGCGGCGGTTGTTCGAATGGTCATATATCACCATGCCACCGGTGACCGCGCCTCCGCACGCCTGTTCTAAGGACTTCTCAATGCAGCTTACTTACGCACTTCTGAAAGTCATCACGACACAAAGCTGCGAGAAGATCACACTGCTGGGGCAAAAAGATCCGGCGGGCGTCGACACAGATTACGTGCCTGTTCTTGACCCACTCACTCGCTCTGCTGCGCGGCATGGACACATGACCGGCCTCCTAGCTTATGCGACCATCGAGTGTGCTACGTCTTGGGCAGCTCGCAGTATCGTTCAGGGCTGGAATGGGCGCATGTACTTCTCTCTCTCTCCTTACAATGATGCTAAGGATATGCGGCTCGACGCTGTGTATCGCAAACGGTACAACGAACAGTCGAAGCTTCTGCACACAACACCAGGGATCACAGATCTCCAAATCGACCGCAAGTGCAGATTTTCTCAACGACTGGCTAACAAGCGCAAAGCAGTTCTCGAAGTGTATGAGGCGTGCAAGTGGAGGCCACTGGCTGTAAGCTACATGCCGGCCTACCTTGATTGGGAGAAAGGCATTGATTTTGCTTCTCTCGAGGATTTCAACAAGCCGATCGACAACTTGTACTACGTCCGTGATCCTGGCTGTGATCTCCCGCACTACTATTTTTGGGCCAGGAAGAGCGAGTGGACTGACTCTACGACTTTAAATCCAAGCTGGAGCCCTGAGGCGTTCAAGCAGCAAGGTACTGTCGGTAAAGCAGTGGATGCATACACACGGATGGCACCAACACAACTCAGAGTCAAGAAGCTCACACCGGTGCCTCCACTTCGCTACGACTTGCCCAATTCCTCAGATCCTGTTACCTTACCTTCAAACATCGAGCGCGACATTTACACGCACGGTCTATCCGCGACTCTCACAAAATACAAAGCCTTTGCTACCTCGGTTGACAAAGGAGAAGCATGGGCCGTCTTCACACGAAAACTGCCAGTGCTGTAATCTAGCGGTGAACTGCCCAGTGCACCGCCAGTCACACCAGCAATGGGTATGTGTGTAGTAGAGAAAATCGCTGCGCTGATGTGTGGGTGCGAGGTTCTGCCTTGTACTGGCGCAGAGAGCTGGACGAGGGACGACGATGCGCTCTGGGGTGTCGTTACCCGTGTAGACGATGAAGATGTTGGGATGTGTGAAGATGATGCCGCCGAAGAACGACAGGACCTTCCTCGCTCGTCGTCAGGTAGCAAGGATGAAGTTGAAGATAGAGTGCAAGCTCTCCACCGCCGCGATAATATGGACATCATGATGCACCCAAAAGAGAAGCGCGTATGGGCCTGGCTTGACAACATCAGCTCCATGTACTCGCCGCGTATAGTACTGCCCTCTCCAATCGCCACTTCATCGAAGACTGAAATAAATGGCGGACCCATCTCCCCACTGGATATAAACAACACTGCCATGAGGCCCATCTGTCCGTTCTGCAACACAGACTGGCAAACCATGAAGGACTTCGAGAAGGCAGAGCATATGCTGTCCCATTCGCACATGGAGCTCAAACACGCCACTACAGCGGCGTCAAGGATTGATGCTATGGGGGTTGGTGTCAAGCGGAGGCACAGTTTCTTGAGTGTAAGGACATTGCGGAGTTATCATGTTAATCAGGGGAAGGGGAAGATGATGTTAAAGGCAGATTCGGCTGCTTCCCTGCTTGAGCACTGGACGAATTTCGGGGGAGAGGATAGTCCATTTACGGGGGAGTATAGGAGGGCGAAACAGGGAAGGGCGCTAGAGAGGAGGGGGAGTGCGGTTTGGGATCAAGATGGGGAAGAGGAGGATGTGAGAGAGTGGTTTGGTGATGACGAGGAAGAGGACAAGAGGCTGGGATCGAGGACGAAACGAGTCTCTCAAGCCGGTGGGGAAAGACATCGTTTCGTTTGAAAAGTGATGCGTTCGCCGGCAGGTAACGCGTGGGTGTTGGGTCGGTAGGGGCAATACAATCGTTTGCGAAATGTACGACCCGCCTGAATTTTGGCACAGTCGCTGTATGTACCACAGTATAGCATGCAGGGCACATACGTGAGTGGTTAATTGTCTTGGTTCCCTAAAGTATCCTACGTTCTGCCTTGCGTCCTGTCACCCAGACTGTCACCCATCCTATCAACCAGCCTTAGCTAGCCACTCAGAAGCTCTCGCCCACCTGTGACGTATGCTTGGTGATATTGAGCCAAAATCCAGGGGGTTTCGTACATTTCGCAAGGCGCCGATAATGGTTGTAGACTGTGGCGATCAAATGAGGATGCAAAACAGACTCCTTGAAGGAGAGCTGCGGACATAGTTTAGAGTGGAGTTCGACGGTTGACGAAGAGGTGGAGTTCAAGTCTTGCGACGATGAGTCACCGATGTGAGTCACCAGTTAACAGTTAAGATGGCTCGATTTCAGTCGATCGCTTTGGTTTGATTGTCTGTTGTTGTAAGTAAGTAATCCTGGGCCGATAACACCGATCTCCTCAAGATCGTTCGAAATGAGAGTGGATGCGAAGTCAAAACTGGCCAAAGTGATCATGGCAGAAACAACTGAGAGGTGAAATGTAGAAGTCAGTTCTACGTCCTTGGGAGGAAGAGAAAACCTCGGTATGGCCAGCCTGGCATGAAAGCCATTCAGTTCGATACAAAAGCAGATGATATCCCTTACCAAGCATCCAGAAACCTAATGAACTCGGAATGCGCTGCTCTGGCTGACCGTTGTCTCTTGGAACTACGAAATTAACAGTGTCCCAAACAAGATAAATGCTCCAAACCTCACTTGACCTCGTTAGACCACATCGAAATGAACATCGAAAGGCCGTGGCTACAGACCGTCTGCATCAAGATACATTGTGCTCCACCACAAGTACGGTCCATCTAGTCGACAAGAACACAGCAGCCTCGCAAAAGTAATTTTGATGGCCTCCAGTCTCGAACAAAGCTGGGCCTATGGAACTCAGCTGTACCTAGCCGGAGGCTGTAAGCCACATGGCGCTGTCGATGCTATGCTAGCGGAAACGTAGATGCCTGAAAGCTTAACAGGTCAGTGAGGGTTGTTTAAAAAATTACTTCCCGCAAACGTGGAAATGATCTCCGATATTGAGCAAGACGCAGCTCAGAGCTGAGTGCTATCAACAAACTGTCGGCCTTTGAGAATGAAAGAATCTCCACCTGCGCCAGGATCTGTTTTCTCCCACAACCTGTAGCGGGAATCGGTGAGTTCTCCGGGATGCTGCTGATGTACGCCTTGCAGAAGATGATGGGTCTCAGTCATCAAAGCTCTCTCCAAGCGAGATGCAACCATAGGAGGTGTGATCCCAACGGGGCTTATTGAATAGCTGGATATACTTCCGTCTTGCGTCTGTGGACCTTCTCGAACACCCCTAGTACCGAGCACTTGTCCCGGCACTTCCACACTCACCTCTGGTACACTTGCGGTACTCTCCAAGATGCAGCCTCGCCCACATCTCACCTCCCCAGGGCTTGACCACGCCTCTTGTCATTGCCCTCACCACCGCATTGTTCCCAAACAAATCCAACCGTATGGAAAGCGCCATGAGACCAGACCTGACTGCCGGAGATCACGATGGCGCCAGCCAATAGGATGCGCCGCGTTCAGCCTGATCTTGGTACGCTACCGCAGTGCTACCGCACGCCACCGTGCGCGCCGCTGGCCGGTGCGGTAAGTGACGTGCGGCTCTTCCAAATCACAGATACGCAGAGTCAGGTAGGTTTCGGGAAGTAGTGTCGCAAGTTCGCACGGTGTTGAGCGATGCAAAGGTGAGAGAACAAAGGCTTTGTTCGCGGGTGAAGGAACAGAACGCAACACCTGAACATCGACTTTGGCAGATTCGAAGACACGATATTATCGATTTGACACGATATTATCGAATCAATAGTTGAGTAAACATGGGCATCTTAGCGGCAGTTAAATGCATCCCAACGCTCTGTCACCTCACCTGTGTTCAACAGCCGAAACCCTCGCACGTTGGGTCTTCAAATCCTGGCACCCTGGCCGCTGTGTCCTCAAAGCAGACGAAACCCCGTCCCCACTTGCTCTTCTCCACGAGTCGCGTCCACTTCATTCCCAGACAGCCCAGACAGGGCTGTGGAAGCGTGCAACCGACGTTCAGTGCTTGGGAAGCGCGGGTCCGTGTGAGCGCACGTTCTGTGGTGCAGGCTCGTCAGAAATACCGATTTGAGGGCGTCCCCGGCTGTGCCTGAATGTCAGGTTCGCTGCGCCGTGATCAGCCGGGCCCTTGCACGCCCAAAAAGCGTGGGATGATCGCTACTATTCCTCCGAAGCAGTCGGGACGGCGAGGTCAGCCACTCATCCGTTACCATTGTATTGCTGGGGTGCGATTGCGTGTTCTCGTTCCTGAATCCTGAGGCTCCGCTGCGTTCCGCGAATGGATGCAGGATTCAGGATGTCGAAGTTAAACGCGCGTATGAAGTCGAAACGGCTATCTAGCCTCTATGACTCATACAGGGACATCGTGGGACACGACGCGGAGACTGCACGCGGGAGAAACATGCCGGCAGTTGATGTAGGATTGATGGGTGTTTCGATGGGCGATGCAATTGCTGTCCCTCGAGAGTTCAACTTCCGATAGTCCTTGTTGATACATGCGCAGCCAATCGGTAATGTACAGTTGCAAGTTAGCAAAGTATCCTTCTGCGAACTTTGTTGTGGTATTTCTTGTGCCTCATGACCGGTAGGTGTTGTCCTCTGCGGGTTGCTTGCAAACTGCAATTGATGTTCGTTATTTGACACATGTCGGCACGCCTGAATTGCTTGCATTAAGTGCTTGCATGTGCCCTCCACATGTCAGGCCGCATCAGGTAGGTGGGCTGTTGAGCGCAATTTACTACTTCAATATTGCGTCTGAATCTGGACGTTCGATCTGTAGCGGTGTGTATGATATATACCAGGTTTTGAATAGCGATAGACGTCGCTTGTTCCTGATACAGGTCAGTGTGAGGAGAGGGAGGTAGTGATGCATGCGTGAGTGATGTTCCCAGATCTGAGGAGTGGATGATGCTGGGGCGATGCGCTCACACGGAGCTGGCAGATTGGGTCGAGGCTTGAAGTGATTGAACATTAAGTATGGGGTATATTTGTGTCGTAATCGTAAAACAGCATTAAATTATGTGAAGCCCTGCCCTCGGGAAGCTATCGACGCTCTCTCCTCGTCGACCCAGAAAGTTCTCGAAACCATAATGTGCATCTGGTCTTCGCTGCTATTTCTCGAGCTCTTGAGCCTCAAACTCCTCTCACTTTCATTGTCAGCCCTCACTTGGCTCTTTGTCATGCTCTGAGGTCCATTGCCATTGAACCAGTTCGGTGACTTGGGGAAGCTCGAATCCTTTGCAAGAGAGTCGTCTGATATTCGTGTTTCTTTAACGTTGGACAAATTGTACATGTCGAGGTCGTTCTTGCTTCCTTTGCGTCTGCTGCTGAGCATCTGACTGGCGGGTGGGGTCTGTAGGCCGTAGTTTGAAGGTCGTGGTTGAGTAGGGCGCGTCGAGAGACCGAGTTGGTGCATAACAAGAGAAAAGAGAGGACGAAGAGTTGCAAGACTACCAGCGGTAATGGCGAGGCCTTGTTCGACCGTAGACCAGATGGCGATATCGAGTGTATCCCCTTGTTAACGTTAGCAACAACGCCGCGTGATAAGACATTGAGTTACTTACAAAGAAAGTCAGGCGAGTTGAGCTTTGGAAGGAAAGGTAGTCGTGCAATAACGGCAGCGCTGGCAACGCAGCCCATGGTAAGGAGTGGAATTAGGGCAATCTTTGTCCTCCTCTTCAGCTGAAGGTTCCAAACTAGAAAAGCTGGGAGCAAAGCAAAAGTGAAATCGGCAATGATGCTGAAGATACTGTAAACGAAACCGAGAGCAATGATGACGGTGTTGTTGATGCAAGTTCCATCCTCGAGGCTCTTCGCCCAGAAATACCTGATGGGGTGACACTGAAAGAGTGTGACGAAGAAGAAAGCCGTGCAGGCGAAGGTTGAGACGAACATGGCGGCGTAGATGATCCAGGTGTGAATACGTTTGACAGAGATGCGTAGCAGGAAGCAACCGATAGAGATCTTGGACAAGATCATAGAGCAGCAGTAGAAGAGGTAGCAGTAGAACCAGCACTTTCGCGCCTTCTCGACCTGCCAGTCCTCAAGATCCCGGTGATGGCGGCCAGTACCGTAGTATGCTCCTATTGTCGAGGAAACAATGTATCCGATGAAGAAAAGCTGTGTATGGTTAGCGACTGCGAACATAGAATCAGCCCAGGACTACTCACTGTTGAGGCAACCATGAGCCAGTCATCGACACCAAACGCTTTTACCATCTTCACTCGAACGATACATCGTAACGCGTTCGCAATGATAGCCGTAGCCACGAAAGCAATGTTCACTCCGATAAGTTCGGGTCCACGGTCAGGGATCGCCATGATGTAGTCTGGTGGAGGTTGCCTTTCGCATGGACCTTGAAGAAGAGGAGAACCCCAGAGCCAGACCTGTTTACCAAAAGGGTCAGGTCGATTCTATATCTTGACAGAGGTGGACCTCGACCGCGGCCCTCTGCGACTTGCCACGTTAAGTGGATCCATCAATGGTTCTGAACATGTAGGACCCGGCCGTTTCAGGGAGTAATATCTACCCCAAAAAGGGTCTCTTCCGCGCATCCTTACTGACGAGCCTGGGAGCCAGTCTTTAGGACATGGCTGTTGCTGGGTTCCCAGAAGCTATGGCACTATTGCAGTTGCATAAACCTAGGATATCCCGTTGCTGACGTTCACTGCTCAGCGGAGGCCATTCACGACCTCCGGAGTCACGGACGGCGACATTCTTAGTGGCCGAGGTACCTTCTAGCAGGTATTCTAGCTGCAAGGCACACGGCAGGGCAAATGCAGGCAAGATGCAGGCCGACTCACAGAACCAAACTTAAATCTAACCAGCCGCGGAAAGAACGGTCGAGCCACCCAAAATGGTAATGCGCTAGGAGGAAGGCACGGAAGCAGCTTTCAGCGGAAGTTACGGCTCCACGTGCTGACCTGACAGCTAAGTCTGAAATTCTGTACTAGCGTCCATCACCCGAGCTTTGTTCGCCTACGTTTTTTCTACTACGCTGTGAAGGCATGAATCACGCGAGCAACTGTCCCCTCTCAGATTCGCTGGTTACGCTTCCTATGTCGACTTCGCGGGAGCTTGCGTGCATGGCCAGCAGTTTCATGCCATCCAAGACTTCAGACATCTAGATCCTTGGAACGAACACCAACCTCTGCTTTGCCGCCGCCGTGCAAACTCACGCCGACGATGCCTGTACAGTATTGCTTCAATATTTCACATGAATGAGAACATTTATTCTCCGATAATCCTTCCCCTTTTGATGCGCCTCTATCGCCAGGATAGCCATAATGTACCTGCATACGGAATACAGCGAGCATGCCACGCAGGACGACGACAGCTGCGTTTTCGAGCCGGTTGCTGCAGCCAAAACCTTCTGTCAGCCACGTAGTGCACGAGCCCTGATTGGCCTGACGTACCAAAATCGATCGTGAGACTAGGCGACCTACGAAGTTTGCGAAGACGCTAGTACGTCTCCCGGCTACATGAGGCAGCGGCTCTACCGCTATTACAAGGCCGCCTTTGTTAAGGTTGTTCCAGCACGCGGACCGCCGCACCTGAATGCTTCAGTATTTGTGTGAGCTACGCACGCTCAACCAATGTTTCGTGATTCAGGTTTCGCTCTACGGCAATTGTTTGGAGCTTATGGATGAGGCACGTCTCTTAAATAACGTCACGGAGCTTCCGAACTTGTCCGTAAAGCGTCATGTTCGATCTATCAAAGCGCGAAGTTGAGTTTTGCAGGCTGCTCGACGCTGTCACGAACAAAGAGGTGGAGCTTTGTCCTGAGTCGGCCGAGCATTCGCCAAAACCTTGTGGTATAGATGACGACGAACATGATCATCTTGTGTGGAGCGAAGATACGATCAGTGGAGTGCGCGATACTGTGAGGACCAGCAGTTCCCATCGATAATCGACTCGTACCAGAGATCGACTGGCTGTCGATTCTCTGTGACAAAACGAATGTACGATCCGCGATACGTCTCTACGACAACTTCGTTCCGCAGATATGTATCTATGCGCTCATAATTCAGCATTTTGAGTGAATTGCAAATCATGGTTGACGCTGCATAGATCAAATCCCTGCTTAAGGTTTATGCCGTCCCGTCTGCCACAATTGAAGGAGTTTAGAGCTTCCTCCGTTCCCCAAGAAGACAGAATCCAGTTCCCTGCAGCATGCCCGGGCAAACTCTCCGCATACTTTGGCGTTGCGCAGCTAAATGCTTATTTGTAACCTCGTCCTTGTTCACCAGGATGGACATTTAGATGCCCGCAAGGATGAGTACATCTCAACTGTTTCGACATGAACTCTACACCACCTCACTTCTAGAGACTGGCTTTTGCAGCAAACCTGTTTTTGACTATACTTAGCCCTCACTTCTTACACTAGAATCACTCGGCACACGACAATTGTGGAAGACGATATGCACGATGATATGTTTCCGACCGTTGTATTTCATACGAGGTCAAGCCACGCCGATCACGGTTTGCTATCACGAGCTTTGATGCGACACTTGATTATCGACATTGTCTGCAGAAGTCCCATGTCGCATCACAATATTCCCTCTTCCGTTTTTATCAAGATAGGTTCCGCAACCTGGAAAGAGTAACCACTTCGACACTGACACAGTTCCGGCAACATCCGCTCTTCAGGTCTCCAAACTGGCGAGTACAATCAACACAACGCAGGTTCAGGAGCTTCCACTGCTCTGGCAGCTCATATGTCGATCGCTGTATTGGTTCTCTATGTCCCGGATTCTCAGTCTTCTGTCTGCATTCGATTCTTGGAGAATTGCCCAGACGCTTTACCTGCATACCAGCACAACGCTCCGGCCCATGCTGCACTCAGCAATCAGACTGCAACCAGTCAAGTCGGTCGTTCTTCGCAGCAGGTCGCGCGTATCGCGATCCGAATCCTTTAAGAAACCCCTTAATCGGGAGGAGAGGTTCACAATGTTGGCAGACGTCAAGATCAGGTTATGCTGCAACTTCCTCGTCAAGCAGCAGTACCTGTAAGTATCTGCTACTTGCAGGACTATTGTCTACCGGGTTTGTACGACATGGCAACTGCATGCGACCCTGATCCCCACGGATGCAGGATCCCTGCGCGTATCACATGCTACGCTTTCCACAGCTGCCCGTTCCAGCGCGTCTGGATTGCTATAGGCTCACTATCCTCCCAAGATTGAGCCAGGCGAACTGCTTGTTTGCCAACGGCTTCGGCGCCATGTTACCGGACGCTGGCATGTTTCAATGAGCTGCAGCATCTGCCGACGACTACCGAGGGACGTTTCGACCTGGACATACGATGTACATCGAGTGATCAGGCTCTGAGACCTGCAAGACTGGTTTCCGTACTTTCCATCCCTGGCAGCCAAACAAGTAGGTGAACTTGCATTTGACGATTGAAAGTAGGACCTCTTCCATTCTGCCATCTTCCTCGATCCTGGCTGCGCCAGCTACAGTCCAGCCTCACACCTGCACCTTCACTGATCACCCACAGTGTCTTACTGAATACGCTTACCTCGGTTACTTCTCTGCGCCCGCCACAGTATTCAACAAACAGATCTTCCTGAAAGCTCTGCTCACTTCACAGCCATCATCCTTAGCCATGATCATGATGGGAAGCGCAACGGCCCATGGCCCCACTTCGATCCCGCCGTGACAATCAGGTATACCTGTATGGTAACTGTGGCAATGCACCTACTGAAGCATTTGTTTTCAAGGACATGACAAGGAGCTATCGGCTCCAACGGCCTACGTTCCTGATGAACCGAATGAGTAGACATCTGCACCTGATCCCCATGTGAACAGATTAAACTGGGGTTCAGCAAACTCGCCAGAGTTCAGAGACGTGATGCCAAATGCTTTCAGTGAGATACTTTCGAAGTACCACCACTCAGGCTGATCACTTGGACACAATAGAGTTAGGTAGGCTTGACCCCAGACACAACATTCACCACAAACTTATGCCAGAGACGATCTGAAATCCCACACTGGTATTGTCTGCTAATCTACCAGGTTGAGTTCCGTTAATTCTTCTTCCAGCCTTGGATGAAATCTCTACCGATCACCGATCAAGGGCACACACTCCGCTTCAAGCCTCGGAGCCTTTCCACCATGAATACTGCAGCTCAATACTCTGCACGAACTGCATTCTCGTCGCAGCCACAACCATTGTACCCTGGGCCCTGTGCATACAGCAAGCCAGACCCGCACCGTCGATCTTCAGGCTCGGCCAGATCCTTCCGCGCGCCACATTCAGGTCGCCCTTGCTATAACACGCCTCTTCCTATGGGGGATTGATGGCATCGATGCAACTTCACGGAACAACAGGTATCGACCTCGGAGACATACAAACATCGTACGATATTGCGGCGCTCGGGACAGTGAGGCTGGCGCTCGGAGCAATGTGCTAGACGAGTGAAGAACAGGACGAAGTCATTAAAGCCACCCTCATAAAATTTGACAGCTTCACTGGTTCTCAATGGACTGAAAGCTCTGCCGTGATCAAGTTGTAGGCAGCCATCTTGTTTGCATACATACCAGCAGTCTCAACGCTTGATACCGGATGCATACTTTGCGTGGTCACTTTTTTTCTTGCTGACGGTTCAAGGCCAAAATGTCGGTATGTCGCCCTTGACATGTGGGCGCACGTGAAGACCTTTGAATTTTGCATCTGGAGACCGCCCGCCGTAGCCCCGAGCACTCCCTATCCCGTTGTTTTACATGTGGACGAGCTACGGGTGATAATATTGCAGCTCGTACGTTGCTGACAAGAGCTCTTCAGCATACATCCACTCTCTGGCAGGAACGAGTGCGCACGAAGAGGTCGACGGCGTAGAAGAAGAACTTGAACTCGGTCAATGATCAACTGATACTGATACATTGTAGCTCGACTGTACGGCTAGCAAGTGCATGTCGCTAAACGCACCGTGAGCCTCTCCATAAGTCACAACGATGGGCATTGTTCGCCGTTAATTGCAAGTAAGAGCTCTCAACATGAGCTTCTCATGTCCTAGTATGACTGACAGACAATGTGGTATACTGAGGCTCGTCTAATCCAATCCAGAAAACTGGAGGATACCATGTCCCTTCTGCTGCTTGCCCTTGTTCCTCTTCCTCTTCTTGCGCTTGCTCTGCTGCTCTTCGTCGCTGCTATCGTCCATGTCCTCATCACTGTCCTTATCCTCATCACTCTCGTGATCCCGCTTCGTCTCTCTCTCGCCCTCCTCTGCTTCCTCCTCATCGTCATCAGTGGCACCTAGTGCACCCTTCTCGCCCCAGACCTTGACTGTCTTTCCGCCACCACTGATCATCCTGCCTGTAACATCAAAGCCTAACCCGATCACTCCCTCTTGCGCCAGTTCATCGTGCTTCAGCGTTGCAATGACCTTGTTCTGCCCAATCTTGACAAAGCACAAGTCACCGTTGCCCAGGCCAACAGCTACGATCTTACCGCCTGGTCCTACACCCGCAGGTAGCAGGGCAAGCGCATCTAAGCTCTCGCCGCCTCCCTTGGAGCGGTCGACGGTGATGCGCTCGTCTTGGTCGTCCCAGACACCGCGCTCCCAGAGCGTGAGCACGCCATTTCCTCCACCAACCAGCACCTTCTCGCCCACATTCGAGCCCTTCTTTGACAGTCCAGACACGATGATGGAACTGAGCAGCTCTTCTTCCTGGTCTTCGGAGCGCACCATGACGCCTCTTCGCAGATCAGTTACGGCTAATGTGCTGCCGCCGGTTGTGACCCATTGCTTGCTGAACCCGCTTGTGCTTGCTTCTGAGGGAGGGAGGGGCGTGAGAGAGGAGATGTAGTCGTCGTGGGGACGGTGTGTGGCTTGCGGCTTGGGCGATTTCTTTGTGCCGAGGTCGCGCATATCGTAGATGTGCAGGGCGGACGAGTCGGTTGCGAGGATGAGGGACTGGGGGGAGAGGGCGTGGACGAGAGTGGGCGCGTCGATGCCGCCGTTGGCGCTGCTGAGGTCAGTATATCGTCCGGGTACTGCATCGTGACCGTGTAGGCGTACGGGTCAAGGGGGACAGCAATCTTGGCTGTGACCTGCCCAGTAGTCGAGTCCGCGACCTTCACGATGCCGTCGGTGCCAGCCGAATACAACTGCGAGCCGTCGACGCTGAAGCCAAGCGTCCTGCAGCTTCCCTTGTGTCGCCGCGTCTTCCATACTGTGTCGATGTGCCCAAATCCGCTCTCCGAAGCTAGAGTCGCCTCATGGTCGCTGTCGTCGCCGGCGCTGCCTGGCAGCCTGTAGGTCTGCACGTGCCCTGACGCGAGACCTACTGCGACAACGGGCTCTTCTGGGTGAATCGCCTGTGCGAACAGATCATAGTCGAGCGGAATGGCGCACACATTCTCGAACATATTGGCGGCGGCGGTGCAGGTGTCGTCGCCGTCAAAGAGCGCTCTGCGCCAGCTTCATCCACACATCTTTTCTGTGGAGCGAGCTTGCGCAGGCCAGGTCGAGCCGAACCATCTTGGCAGGTACCACCTCCACCACCACGGAACAACCCCACCTTGTGTCTGTGCTACAGTATATCTGCACATGCTTTCGATCACGACGTGCCGTGGACCGGGTTGCTGGTGGTTGGCCGCGTGGGTTATGGCTTCCACAGCTGCATCCTTCAGAGCCTCCCTTCCCAATCACATCCTCTTGTCAGACCACGCATCTTCACGAATATCGACAAATTTCTTCCGTCCCATCATCACCAGCACAACCGATATCTCGACCCACGGTGACCCTGAAAGACGGTGGTGATGTGGATGCGTGGTACCTCGAACGGCAGTATGTCCGGATCACGTTTCCTAGTGATTGGCTGTCAACCTCACCCATGTCCGCGGAGGGCAAGCCTTCGCCAACGGCTGTACAGACGGAGGAACAGCGTCGAATTCGAGCATGCTCATAAGAGAGCTCATGGAGCTTCCATTGTTGACATCGCCATTCTCTCCGTACAACACCACGCTCGTCGAGATGATTGCGTCATCGCTCCTCTACGGCCTTCTGGCCGCTGCCTCCATGGTCGATGCCGCTTCGCAAAAGAAGCAGATCAAGTACGAGGTCGTCACGGGTATCTTTCAACAAGACGACAACAGCACTGATCCTAGCACCTTCAACTTCATCGACTCCAACTTTGGCCTGATCAACCGCACATACCCCAGCGACCCCAAGAGTCCGGACAGCAAGTATGCTACACAATGGCAGCGCCTCAACAAGTACATCAAAAGCCTGAACAAGGAGAAGAAGACCCGTTACTCCCTGCTCTTCCTCGGTCGTCACGGCGAGGGCTTCCATAACGCCGCTGAGACATACTTCGGCACCCCAGCATGGAACTGCTACTGGTCTGAACTGGACGGCAACGGCACTGTCACCTGGGCCGACGCGAAGCTCACTCAAGACGGTATCAAGCAGGCCCAAGACGTGAACACTTTCTGGAAGCACCTGATCAACGACGAGAAGATCACTCCTCCCGAGTCGTACTACACCAGCCCTCTGTACCGCTGCCTCGACACCGCTAAGATTACTTTCTCAAACCTGACTCTGCCGAAGAAGTCACCCTTCGTGCCAACCATCAAGGAGTTCCTACGCGAGGGCATCAGCGCGCACACCTGTGACCGTCGCAGCAACAAGACGTACATCCACCAGAACTTTCCCAGCTACAAGTTCGAGAAGGGCTTTCCCGAGAACGACCCGTACTGGAAGGAGCTTATGGCCGAGCCTTCGGCTGACCAGGACATCCGTTCCAAGGCCGTGCTTGACGACATCTTCAGCAACGACGATAGCACGTACATCTCGGTTACTTCTCACTCCGGAGAGATCAGTAGCTTGCTGCGAGGTATGTGTCATAGACGACAATGGAACATGAGGACAGCAGCTAACACAACAACAGTCCTCGGCCACCGCGTCTTCAAGCTCGCTACTGGTGCTGCGATACCTGTTCTGGTCAAGCAGACCACGCTTAGTGGTGATGCGCCCGCAACGACTACTGTGCCCTGGAACTCTCAAGCTACGTGCACTGCGCCGCCGACAATTCGCGATTCGAGCTGCAATGACTGCTCGTGCTGTCTCTAGATGGACCGTATAGTACAATGTAAAGATCTCAGCCCAGCAGGTTTAATGAAGTGTTTACGTGCAGGATTTCCGCACTGAATTGTCATCCTTCTGTGTCTTTCGATACCTTTGACTAATCTATGCAAGTGGCTATCGAGACTCACACGTAGCCGATATCCGGACGCTGTAAGTACACCATTACGCAGGCGGAGTCAACACATCCACATATACTCGATAGGTCAACGTAGCCTCGAGTCTTCCTCACCTTCAACGAACCACTTGATCCAAGTCGCCTCAGCTTATTCCATCGCTTATCAACTAGCGGGTATATGGTGGCGAAACATGTGGAGAGAACTAACGTGGAATGTTTGTACAGCCGGTTCGCCGCTATTTGGAGGAAGTGACACGCAACGCGGCCCACCAGGGCAGCGATCAGGATCGTTCACAGGTGACTTGGATTGCCCTTCTCGACTCTACTCTACTGAATTTCACAGCGTCACCCTGGTCCTGGGCTAGTGTCAAAGGTCACCTCAAGAACCTCAACCTTCAGAAAGATGAAAGAGTAGAAGATATAGCAAGCGTCGTGCAAAAAGTGGACTGCCGTGCCGAACCACAAGAACCACAGGTCATATCCTCTGCCTACTCAGGCATCTCTGCGTTTACGAGGCTTCTTCAAAGACGCAAACGCATGTCTATGGGACGATGAACTTGAGGGCCCACTTCGCCTATGGGTTACCCTCAAGGAGCCGGAAAAACCTAGAAAGCGAATGCATCTCAAAAAGAGAATGGTTGGACAACCTACTAGCTGAAGAGTTCCCGTTTGCAACAGACTCAGCTGATGCATTGTCGCTGCAGCGAGAAGTGGCGAGGGCAGGCCTCCCAACCCAGGAATCCTCTGGTATGGGAAGCATCCGGGCGGTGACAGCCGATCGGTTCAGTATCGCGTTCAATGTGATCAAAGGTCATAGTCTCAGGGATACTGTTAGTCCAACCAACCAATCAATCAATCAATCAATAATCAAGATTTCTATCTGTCGTTCTATTCTACCAACACATCCTGTGGATAGGTGGCCTTGCTTAGCAAGGCCTTGTTGGGCACCCTTTGGTCTCCCAGTGGAGACAGTTTGGTACAGGAGGGTTCACCTCAGCTTCTGGTTGTATCTCTTACATTGTATCCCTTACAATATATAGTCCACCAGGTCCTGCTCGTTGACGAGCATCGTACCATGCTTGTTGACAAGCTTGTCACGTGGGCCTGCTTGAACCCATCAGGCACCCACCAGGTGGCCTTGTTGTGCTGCACCTTCCCCCAGGTCCCCATGTTTGGTTGGTGGTTACTTATTGCTCTGCCGTCCTATCGCAGGACATAGGATTGTAACATATCCCACACTTGATCCCTTCTTCATCTTCTATCCTTCTATCACTTGTGGTATTTCCCTGCTTAGTCTCTTCTACACCCCTATCTCCAACAAGCCTGAATCTTCCTTCCACCAATACATCTATCTCAAGGAGCAGTTGATATCCCCAGCTAGGCCCCCAGCGTGTCTACTTGCTGTATACATGAGCAGAGGATTGCTCAGATTGCTTGGTTTGCTTGGTACTGAGTATACTGATTGTACCAAGTATACTGATTGTACCGAGTATACTGCTCGTGTTGAGTATACTGACCGTGCCAAGTATACTGCTCGTACCAAGTATACCGATTGCACTGAGTATACTGCTTGTGTTGAGTATACTGACTGTGGCAAGTATATTGATTGTACTGAGTATTGCCAACACGGCTGTTACGATCCTACGCCCCACGATAGGACGACAAGCAATAAGTAACCGCCAACCAAACACGGAGGCCTGGGGGAAGGCGCAGCAGGACAAGGCCGCCCGGCCGGCGCCTAGGGGATTGCTCTCAGCCGAGCTGACACACGTGACAGAGCTCGTCAACGAGCAAGGTCACGTGAGTGCTCGTCAACGAGCATGACGTGATGCTCGTCAACGAACATGGTACGATGCTCG